ATGTGTTTTACTGCGCTCCGAAACTGCATAAGGTCATACGAGCGCGCGAGACACATTAAACGTTTTTCAGTAGTAGAAAATTTTGAATTTTGCACGGGTGGCGGCTGAAGCCTACTCTTATCAATTTTAGACCACCAAGGGATCTTTACCATGTGCAGCTTGCACACAGGGAAGTGTTTAATACTTTTAGGAACTGAGCCTACTTTAGGTGTCATTTCTTGCTTCTTTTTTTTTTCAACATTCAGAGTTTGATTTTGACAAAACATTTCTCGAGCTCATGAAATTGATACCACAGACTGACTCTTATTATACAGCCCACCAGTTCAGCTGGCTCAGTGTATCGCTCGGAAGTTTACAGTCACAAGAGAAAGCCCAAACCCCAGCCAATCCATCTTATTCATTTTCAAACTATTGCATTTATTGTATGGGGGCGTCCATCTCCTCTCAGTCTGCTGGGTATTGACAAGTTGTTCACATTATGTAGGTTAAATAGGAACGGACTCATAGACAGAGCCCAGATCTGAATTAATTAATTTTTTCTTATGTTTGCTTCTGTTTGTGTTTTTCCGTTCTTTCAACTGGCTAGATATTGTTGCGGTAGTGGTGCTTATTGAGGTGGTCAACAGGGGTGAAGTGAGAGAGGTGAAGTGGGGTGAGGTGAGAGAGGTGAAGTGGGGTGAGGTGAGAGAGGTGAAGTGGGGTGAGGTGAGAGAGGTGAAGTGGGGTGAAGTGAGAGAGGTGAAATGGGGTGAGGTGAGAGGGGTGAAGTGGGGTGAGGCGAGAGAGGTGAAATGGGGTGAAGTTTTCAACATTTAGTCGGTTAAATAGGAGCGGACTCATAGACATTGGCGTTACTCGAACATTGGTTGACAAAATTAGCCAGGTGTAAAATGTGAAATAGCTTTCCATATTCTAAGAGTTATGAAACTGCAATTTTAAAAATTTCCAAATTTTGGGCTTTGCACATTTTAACAGCTGACCGATGAAGTGTGCTATCGTATCAACAGGGGAAGCAACTCCCCCACGATGAGGGCACCACTCCCACATCACAACTTCTCGGATGCACTACCGAGAGAATCGTTCACCAAGATGAAACCTATCCTCTCAAACACAAACATAACAGTGAACCCAAACATAAGAACCCTGTAGGCATACATATGTTGTTGTTGTTGTTGTTGTCGTTAGCGATCCAGTAGCATCTGAGCGTTAACTCTTCTGCATGATGCCATTCGGTAATAGCTGCATGTCTGTACTAATTGTTGTCTTGAGGAGTAGAGGCAGTTAGATGTGTGGGGTAGCTTGGGAAGAAAACATCCCCTTAAATCAGCTAGCTTTCTACAGAAGAACAGATGATGTTCCACTGTCTCTGAGGGGTAGTCACATAGTGGCGTCGGTGGCCTAGTGGTTAGGCTCTCGGACTCGCAAACGTAAGGTCGTGGGT